TGACTTCTGCTCTTGGTTTATGAAGAGGTTGAAAAGTGAAATCACAACCTCTGGAAATGTACTCTTTTACCTGCACTTTCAAGATAAGCTGTGAAATCCTCATCTGACAGGCTAGTACAGTATTTTTTGCTATATGTTAACATGCAGGATTTGATAAAACAATGCACTGCTTTCTTTTTGTAAGAAATTGGCAGGTCAAATTCCACTGAAACTCATTGGAATGAATCACGTTTTTTTATTGCTCAATATGATTTACAGAAAAAATAAGCCTACAGCTTAAACCAAGAAATTGACCAATAATGTTCAAGATGCGGTATCTGCTATGTGAAGTGAAAGTACTGCAAACATGCAGTAAACACCCTATTAGTATTTTCAGAGTCGTAGATGGTGTTCACTTTGAACACCTTACAGTGCAATGGCAAAATCATAAAGTCAGCTTTCTTCTTTAAACAAGGCTAGCAATGGAAATACTGCTTCTTTTCTTGCCTTGGACTGTGCACTAGATAACATGGATGTGCTGCTTCTTTGTTTTTTAGTGTCTCAGATGTCATCCAACCTGAAGAAATTTGAGTCCCAGCTCCAAGCCCAAGGTCAGTGCTTTGAATCCTGATCAGGATAAATGATACAGTTCAGACAGTAAAAAACACTCAGCTGGACAGTATCTTTGTATCATGGACATCTGCCCTTACTGTTTTAAATTGGTCAAAAAGAGGCTGTTCAGCTTCTAGGACTGTACAGTTTTACCTGCAATTCCAAGAAGTTTTCAATATGCTGTAAGATCCTCATGTGACAGGTAACCCATTGTGTTAAGTCATTTTGTAACTCATTTAAAACTTAAATTGAAAGGTCAAGGTTTTGAATTCATCTTAAACACAAACATGTGGCACATTGCAGAATGTACCCAAGGTAAAAGGTAAAAGGTAAAACATCGGAATACTAGTGTATAACCATTGTGACAATGCTGCAAACATCACCAAAGTGCTCTCCTTGCATAATTTCAGATACTCAGATCTCCTCTGCTTTGACAAATTGGGATTCTCGTTTCCTAACACACGGTCAGTGTTCTGTTTCCATGTTCTTGGACTTCAAGGTTGAAAAAACACTCTTTTCACTTTATTCATCCAAGCTGCTCAGAATATCCATTTCTGTCTTTTTTGTAATTTTATTTTCAGTCTCGAATAGTGCTCAGGTTGACCACCTTTACCTTTACAATCCAGTTCCAATAAAGTCAACTTTCTTCTTTATATAAAATTTGTCTGACAGTGCAAATACTATCTCTTTTATTGTTTTGATCATGGACCCTGTAAAGATAAAAATAAGAATTTTCTTGTGTTTTTTTTTTTTTTAGAGTCTCAGGTGTCATCCAGCTTGAACAGTTTGTCTTCCCAGCTCCAAGCCCAAGGTCAGTGTTTTCAATCTTGATCAGGATAAAAGTTTAAAATGCATTCAGCTGGACAGGATCTTTGTATCATGGACATCTGCCCTTACTGTTTTAAACTGGTCAAAAAAGAGACTTCTCAACTTCTAGGAATGTACAGTTTGATACAGTACATTGTAGACAGTATGATATACAGCATTCAGCTGGACAGAATCTTCTTACCATAGACACCTACCTTGCCATTTTAAACTGATCAAAATGAGAATTCTCAGCCTCTAGGTACTGTGCAGTATGTACTGCACAGTACCTAGAGGCTGAGACATTACCTGTGTCTCCAGAAGTGTTCAAGTTGCTGTAAAATCCTTAGGTGAATGGCTTGTGTAAGGGTTTTTTCTTATATTCCTGACAGGTAAAAGAAAATCTCTGGTTAAATCATGAAAGAGTAATTTATTATTGTTGTTAATTTATATATTCTGTATTTCCAGTGTGGAAAATTTTACACAACAATGAAGAAGAATTTAAAAACCAAAACAGGACACTATAAACTGTCAAGCCAGTCACGAAAGCAATAATGCAGTAATAATGCAAATTACTTTTGCTGGTTTGTATCATGTCAGCCAATGCTGGAGACAAGAGCTTGTATAGTTTGCCAGGGAGAAAGGGAGAAATAATCCATTGATGATTAGAAAGCCACTGATCTGGGTGAGTGTAACAGCTGCACTGCAACCTATCCCAGAAGCACAAAGACGTATTGAGAGCACATGATGTCTCCCACCCTGCATAGGGTGATCAGCACATAAAACCCCACATGTTTTGGAAAGACCATGCCATTTTGCTGCAGCCAGAAATGAGAGTCAAATAATTAATCAATTATAGTAACAACATGCTGAAGATATATTTTTCCTATGAAGTCTTAGTGAAGTTGTCCATCTAATGTCAAATGACAGCTGAAATCCCAATTATTTGGCCTCTCACTTTTCATCATTACTGCCACCATGGTTCTTTAATTCTTTTGTATCCCTTGCTTTTCTCTTTCATGTGGAGTCATTCTTGGGGAAAAAACAAACCTAATGAAGATTACTTACTTTAATGAAGAAGGCATAAACTACATTTTACTGTGAATTTTCAATGTCAATAAGAACAAACCTCACTTCTTTTCTTTGAATTTTCACCTTTAATTGTAGGTTGTACAAAAGTGTGCCCCTGTGACTGGATCCTGTTCAGTGGAAGTTGTTACTATTTTTCAAAAGAATCAAAAGACTGGCATAGAGCCCAACAGTACTGTGTCAACCAGGCCTCTAGCCTTGCCATTATCAACAATGTAGACGAGCTGGTGAGACTGAGATCCCGCCTTTCCTTCTATACTTGACAGTGAGTTGAAAAATTCAGCCCAGAAATTGATTTGGTGATATTAGATGAAGCATTCAAAATAGAAAATAGAAAATCACACTTGGTTGCATTCTTATACAGAAATAGTCAAACTGATGAAGGGCTAGATTCCACAGCTTTTACACTAAAGAAATGCAATGCACAGTCACATGCATTGTCTTGTGTTCCAGATCTGTTTGACAAGTCACCGTTTGACTGAATGTTTTTAAATACTGTATGTTGCTTCTTCTGCTGTCTTGAATGTTTGGAGAAATGCAATGCAGGCCTGTTTAAAAGCTGCCACAGAGTGGGACATATAGGAAGGGAGATCAGGGGCAGCAGTCTGAAGGGGTGAGCAGGATCCTGAATGAAACTGGCAGGTTTAGGACACTGGAACAGGTAGGAGACCTCAGAGTTAGAGAGATGAAAAACAGAAACACTGTAGGTGGGGACCAGCAAACCTGAGGTGTGGGGTGAGGGAGGAGATGAAGTGCTGAATAATTTGTGGACGTCTCAAGCTTTGGAACAAAAGAAGAAGCTACAGAAAGTGAGATATTGGAAGGGGAAAGAGGTTTGAGAAGGGAGGACGAGAACAGCTTAAAAGGATTGTTGGTAGAAGACTATATGATGGATTGAAAATGAAAATGACTGACTGAGGTTGAAGAGAACTAGGAAAGAAGAGGACAAGAGAGATCCAGGGTGCAAGGGAATTTACTGTAAATCTCCAATTAATTTAAATGAGAGCATCTTAGCTCTAGCTAAGCAAAATGTGAGAGTGTTGGGGAGAACCTGTGATTTTTTCAAATAGATACTATGGGAGTTTGCTTGGAAAAATAAAGAACCATTTTATTTATTATTATTTCAGATGTTTTAGACAAAAGCTTTAATAGCATACATTGTGTTAATATACAGTAGAATATTGTTTAGAGAAAAGGATGTACAAAACTCATTTACCAAAAAGTCTATGGCCATTTCTGGAAAACAACATGACACAAAATATAAACTATTAGAAATTGTGAGAAAATCCAAATTCTCAGTCAAGAACATAACAAGAATCATCAAGATTTGGAATACTTCTCCCACATCTTCATTTAATGTTTGATTGTAACTCCTCATCAAAATAAATAGAGCTGTACTTTTAGTGGGTTTACTGGGATACCCCCAGACAGGTACTGTATTTCACAGGCACAGTTTTAATTTCTACAAATACAGTATTCAGTATCGTGAATGACCTGAGATTGAGTTAATCTTTCAGTTCTTTCATCACTGTTCCCCAGAAAATTCTGAGCAGCAAAATCTCTTCCGGCTACTGGGTGGGGCTGAATGACCTTGACTCTGAAGGGAGATGGAAATGGGTGGATAGAACACCAGTGGACATGAGTGACAAGTAAGTACAGACATTGCCTTTTCTGTCACAGTCTTGTGAAATTAACAGACCCCCTTCGTCAACAAATAAGTGTAACGCTTACGGCCGACAAGCACTGTGTGTAAGAGCCGGCGTACCAGAGCGGGTGAC